TTGCAGGGGACTGTTTTCAAGGATCTTAAGATGCCGAAAAATTTGTACCAAAAGCAAGAGAAGGCCATTCAAAAGCAGTACAAATTTGGTAAGAGAACCGATGCTGCAATTGTTTAATGACTGCTGCGACATATTGTGGTCAGCTGATATACAATCACGTTGCACAGTGTCTGGCAAAAATTCCACTGGAAATACTGAGAATAGGAAGGATGGAATAAAAGCCAACCTGGGAGAAGGGTGAAGCATTGCCAAAGAATGAAGTGAAAGCAAATGCTAGTAAGTACCAGTTGAACTGGGATATGAGTTGATTGTCTCCTTTTTCTCTCATTATTTATGGTTTTTATTTTTGTGTCTATAGCTGTCCTTCAAAAAGAAGCGCCCAAAGGATGGATGGGAGATTTTCAAACAAGTTTTCATTTTCACATTTTGTACTAAGTACTATCGCTGTTACACTTAAACTGTTTGATACTCAAGTTTAGGAGCACTCATTAATCTTGCTGTACTTTTCAGAAACTCTGGCCTCTGCAAAAACTCTATCAGAAAAGGCAACGTTCACCAGCGATGTTAACGAAGACAAAGATGTGGCTGTAGATGGGAATAGAAGCAGGAAGCAAACTGCTTTCTATAGTCAGAACCAGCCTAATGAAGAGAATGATGAGAGACTTCTTAAGAGGCTCAGACTAAATCAAGGTACATGTTCCGTTTCTCCCACTCTCCTTGCCTGTTGCAATGCTTTTCTTATGATTATTTATTTTGATGAATGAATTTAATTTGTTTTAATTTGTCATGAAATTCAGGTAACAATGGTAACCTCCTTGGACCTGAACCACGTGTTTGAGTTGCCATGATCAAGGTACCAGTTGACTCCCCCTGTAATGCAGTATAAATGTATTTTGGGAGCCGTGCATCTTCAGTTTTCACTTCCTTTTTTACATGTCCTCGAAGACTATGGTGCAAGTGACTCAAGCAATCCTGGTAGTCCTTCTTCACACCAATTGGATTGGTCACCAGCTTTGAGTCCACTCCGCAGATCACTAGCACGATCACCATCATTCACCCATACTGAACAGCCCGAGCTTTGGTCCAAAGGCTTAACTCCATCAGCAGCTGCCAGTATGCAAGGTACAGACACTGCTCATATGTGTTATTTCACATGCTTTCAGGGAACTTGTGCTTGTCAGTTCATTTTATAAATTTTTCTTTTTCTGTTAATACAGGTATGATTACACAACATCAAGTGGCGTCAGGCATCAAAGAAGCCAAGAGAACGGGTGGGAAGGAAATCACAGCCAACAGTAAAGTGCCCTGGATGTTTAGCAGTGTACTCTGGCAACAGGTCTGGACTTGGCGCTCTGGGCCATCATATTATTAATAGTCACAGAAAGCGCGCAATGCTCTATAGAAGCAGGCTGCGAGCTCAGTTTAGTGCCTATTTTACACAAGCTGAAAAATCAGACTAAAGATTCATTGTCAATTTTTCTGTGTAAGGGTGAAAACATTTGTCCTGATTTTTGTTTGTTTAGAACAAGTCTGAACAACTACTGTTTAGTACATTGAAGTGCCACAACATGGACTTCTTTGTGTACCTATGTGAGTGTGTTAGACCAATTATAATTGACAAAACCTTGTGTATTAAGGAATTGAAGTCAGGTATGCTGTGCATTCATACTAAGAGTAAGGAGACAATTTTAATGAAGTGTTTATCAGTGTCACGTTTTATTAGGTCTTCTGTAATTTTGTATCTCTGACGGGTATGTACTGCTCCCGAGAAAAAAAGTGTAGTGTTAACTGTGATTTCTATTGGGATGAAATGTGTTGCTGAAGAAATTTACTACAACTTTCTTGTGCAGGTACATTACATTCAAATGAATACAAGACTTTTGTACTAAATCGAAGCCTGTCATCA